GACGGACCTCGGGGTGGTCGTGCACGGCGGCATGTAGCTGGTCCTGGAGCTCTCGGACGGTCGCTTCGTGGGCTTCAGCCGCTCGATGCTATTCGCGACGATGGTAAAGAGAAATCAAAAAGTAATATCGCGGACACCTGCTCGAGCACGAGTTGGGCCGCGACCTGCTCGCCAAACTTGATGGTGGCGTCTTGCATCGCCTGCTGATCGCGGACCTTCTGGAGCAAGTAGAGAATGACCGCGTCCTTCTCCGACTCGGCGAGTGCTCCGAGCGCAGACGACGGTGCGGGTTGCACCTGCAGCCGCGCAAGCGCCTTCCGCGGGCTGAACACGACTCGTGGCGACGTTGGGTGTCCTAATGCATCCGACATCATGAGGCTCATCAGACTTTCTGCACCAAGTCGCACGGTCTGCCATGTCTAAAGCCTTTTCAAAATTCGAACACAAAGTCAGCAATCTTGTCAACAAAATTTCAATGTATCAAAGTTGCATCTGGAAAAGGGGTGTATAGAATTATAATATATTTCAATCACGACGACAATATGGCTGCGTCTTGCAACATTTACTCGTCCGCATTCTCATTCTCATCCTCGTCCTCGTCCTCGGCGACCTCTTCTTCGTTGTCGGCTTCGGACTGCCATGGACGACTCGCATATGCCTTGACGCAGCCCGTGCCGAGTACAATAGCTCCAAGCAGCTTGGGCTTGGATGCATTTTGCTTGTTTCTATGTGTTTTCGGTATTGGTCTGCACTGTCGTTGGCTTCGAAATTGCATTGAAACTCGAGTAGCGCTCCGTCTAGCGTCCCTACATACTAGTCGGCAGCAAGGGAAGAGACACAGAGTCGATGCAAGAGGTCGAAGTAGATTCGCGTTGAAAAGGCGGCTTTTCCTATGGCATCTGGTCGTCGTTGCTCGTTTCTTTCCGGTACTCGCGGATGATGGCGGGAATCGACGTGGGCGGGATCATGCCAATCTCCGTCACGACCGTCGTCACGTACTCCATGGGCGTCAAGTCGTAAATCAAGTTCAAGAGCTTGAGGTTCGGGAGGTCGCGCCAATCAGCGAGCACGTGCGGGTGGTCCTCGGCCTGCTGCGACTTGGGGCGGTTCAGGCGGTCGGCGTTCGTCTCGGTCGCATACGACGAGATGAGCTCGTCCGGGTCGCGCAGCTCGTTGTGCGTGATCGAGTCCATTTGCACGCGGTCGGAAAACTGGGCAAATGCATGAGCCACCTCCACTCGACGCGTTGTATACCTTGTACGTCTCGCAGCAAAAGAGGACCGGGACGTTAAACTCGTGCGCCGTCATCGCACAGAGCGCCTACCCTCAGGAGCGTGGGCCAACAATGGACTAGACCAAGAGGAGGCGCACCGTGCCGACACGCGCGACGGCCGCGCCGTTGCTCATAAAGGCCGACGCGCCCAAAAACACCTTGGTGACTTGCTACAGAGACCCAAGTGTCAACCAAAAACTATCAAGCTTTCAACCGATGACGCACCTTCATCACGTACGAGAGCGCGTTGATGTGGATGTACGAGCACGGAAGGCCATGCGTGGCGAGCGCGCGGAGGAGCTTCTTGCCCTCAAAGTGCGGGCGCGAGTCGACCACGATGACGCGGAACTTGGTCTTCAAGTCGTGGGCCTCCTTGAGGAGCGACTCGAGCACCTCCGAGCGCGCGTACGTCAGAATGACGTCGCCGTCGACGATCTTGGAGCACGAGAGCTTGGTGACGGCCTTCATCGCAAGCAGAATGCGGTGCTGGATGAACTGGTCAATCTCGTCGATGATGAGCTCCTTCGCTTCTTCGTCGTTCTTGGTCACGTCAATCGTCGCAATCACGTTGCGGACGTACTAGAAGCAGCCGCCATCAGATCCACATCTGAGACAATCAGATTCACATCTGAGAGATGCACTAACGTACACGAATGGCGTTGCCCATGCCAATGCTGTGCGGGCGACAGTCGATGAGGAACTGGATGAGCGGTCGCAGCGACTTGTCCAGATCACGGCGCAGACCCTAGCGCGCACATGTTTGAGCAAGAGACAGTTGAGACCAGGGGACCTTGTCGGGCGGCGCGTGGTAGTCCTTGATGACCTCCTGGAAGGCCGTGAGCATCGCGATGCAGCGCGCGTTCCCGCCGGCGATCTTGCCTTCGGCGTATTTGAGCCCGAGCGAGAGGATTGCCGGGTGGATCTCAGTCTTGGAGAAGCCGACGTTGAGCGAGAGCGAGCTCTCGCGCTCGTACTGCGGCAGGTGCGAGAAGAGCGTCACCTGTCGCGCGTGCATGAGCCAATGAGGTTGCACGTGTCTTGGATCTACCTGCTTTTGCGCCTGCGTGCGCTGGATGACCGAGCCCTTCGAGTACCGAGCGACCTTCTTCGGGTCGTCGTACTAGATACATATAAGGACGTGTGGGAGCATGAGGGATGATTGGTGATACCTGCATGCGCGCCGTGGGCGGCGTCGGCGCCGTCGACGGCTTGACAGCCGGTTTGGCCGGGCCACCGGCCTTGGCCGCACGCTGCTGTTCCTGAAGAAGACGACGCTCTTCCTTGGAGAGCTTGGCCTTCTTCTCGAACGTCTGCGCACCCATGGCTTCCTTCTTCTTTTGCTTCCGAAGCGCCTTGTCTATAGGCGGCATGAGATCGTTGCATGGATGTCAAATGGCACGCTACCTTCTTCCGGCGTCAGCGACAGCTTCTCCATGCCAGCCTACACACCATGCCAATGAATGATGAGGCATATGTGGCTGCGCACCGCAAGGTCCGGCTTCAATAGGCTCATGGGCGGCGACTTCTTGGCGTCGCGCTTGGCGTCCTTCGCATCCAGCATCTTCTCTACACCAATGCGATACGCATGATCGCACGCGCTTCCTGCGCTTCATGGCCGTACCGAGCTGCTTGAAGTCCGAGTTGGCCCGGAGGAGGTCCGTCTTCTTCTTGTCGGCCATGCTAAATCGCGTTTTGCAAGTCCATTGAAATTTCCCATGGTCGGTCCGGGATTCGAATCCCGGAGTTGGGCCGGCGACGCGCATACAATGATGGACGTTTTATTTTCACTCGATAAATGTATGGAGAGGCGTGAAAACGACCGCCGCCCGTTCGCATACAAACACCAAGTTTGGTGCCAGGCTATTTTATGAGTTTGGCTTGTTCTCTGTGAAACGCGAGCCGAGTATGGCGACGCCGACGAGCGACGACGAGTGGAAGGAGATGCTGTACAGCAGCCTCGAGTGCGAGATCTGCAACCTGCCGTACGACAACACCGAGACCCATACGCCCCGCCTCCTGAGCTGCGGCCACACGTTCTGCCAGGTACGCACCAAGATACGCTCGCGTCACGATGACCTCGGCTTCATGGACTGCGTGGTAGTCGTGCCTCGGCGGGTGGGCCACGACCGCAAGCCATGGCCACTCGGGCACCAACATCATTACATGTCCTAGCTGTCGGCGCGAGACGCTGGTGGGCCGCGACGGCCTCCCAAAGAACTTTGAAGTGCTCCGGATCCGCGACGAGCTTGAGCAATGGACGTCGGAGCGACTCGCGGCCTTTCGCGCCCAAAGCGATGGAATCATCAGGGAAAAGGAAACGATTGCGCGCGAGGCCGAGCAGGCGGCGCAGATCGCTCAGCAAAAGGCCGACCAAGCCGCGGACCACGCCCGCGCGCTGCAGCAGCAAGTCACTTTGAACGCACGCGAGCGCCAAGCCGCGCTGGAAGCCGCCGAGGCCGCGCAGCGCGGTGCCCGCGACGCCATCTCGCTGGCGGAGAAGCTGCAGAACGAAACGGACGACCTCAAGCGGCAATTGCAGCTCGACGCGCTGCAGCTCCAGCAGATCAAGAAGGACGCGAGCACGTCGTCAGCGATCGCGGCCGACCTCGAATCCAAGGCCAATGCGCTCCAAGCCCAGGTACGCATCACCTTGTTTGTCGTTCATTTGTGTCACGAAGCGTCATGGTGATGTTTGTAGGTCGACCGTGTCAAGTCGCAGCTTTTGCTGCACTCGGGCAAGCAAGACCCAACGCGGATGGTCGTACTGGTGTGCGATCCCATCACAGTCGGCTCATGGCTCCTCCCATACACGCGCTACACTGTGGTACATACGCATCCGCCAAATGTTCTTACCTCTTGACGTTGGTCTAGATTTGCATTGCGAATGAAAACGGTGCCATGGACTCGATGCTGGCGGCGCGCGACTGGATCTACTCGTCGCCCAAGCTCGGGTACGGCCTCCAAATGAGCGTCAACTTGACGCAAGCCAACGCTTCGGTCCGCGTCTACCGCCGGTACAGCGACTTTGGCTGGCTCCATGACGCGCTCTGCGTCGAGTACCCTGGCCTCTTCGTGCCATTCCTGCCCGGCAAGACCTTTTTCAACGGCCACGCCGACTTTGTCAACGAGAGGATGCGGTCGCTGCAGGTACTCGGCTCTCGGAATGGCTCGTGGCATACATCGTTAGGCGTTCTTGCGCGAGATCCTCCGCAATCCGGTGCTCAGCCGCGGCGACGATGTCCGCGCCTTCCTTCTCTTCTCAACCGAAGAGCTCGAAAAGTACAAACTCGCCAAAGCACCCGTCGCGTTGGCGTCGGACGTGGTCGTTGCCGCGCCACCCAAGCCCAAGAAGGTCCACTCGTCGTCGTGGTTGCGCACCGGCGCGTCGACAGGCCAGTGGGCGTGGGGCGCCGTGAGCTCGCTGACGTCGAGCGCAGCCAAGCTCGTGACGACGACGGCAGGTCTCGGTGACGACGACGCGCTCCTTGAAGTCGACAGCGAGCACGCGTGGTTGCAATTGCGGCGCAAGAGCTACGAGCAACTGTACAGGCCCCGCAGCAGCCCGTATGGGACTCATCCTCGTCCTATGTAGTTGCCACATGTATGAGAAGGCGGTCGAGAAGGGCGAGATCTCGCTGCGCGGCCAGCGCAAGCAAGCGACCGAGCTCTCGGAACTAGGCCACCTCCTCGGGCGGATGGTCAAGCTTGACGACGGCATCGTCAAGCGCAGCCAGTCGTTGTATACGTTCCAGGCGCGCGTCGAAGGCGAGCTGCGGGGCATGGGCGCGGACTTCGGCGGCGTCGCCGACATGTCGGAGCACGCGGTGCAGGAGACGCTGCGCATGCAGGTGCTGCAGTTGGGCGCGATCGAAGAGGCATTTGGCCGCGTCAAAGTCAAACAGGAGGCGGTCGAAGGGCTCGAGAGTGCGCTCCACGGCCCGGACGTGAGTCTGCGTGACGATGCCCTCTCGAAACTGCCCACTGCCAAGACGACGCTGGACGCGCTCAAGGCGAGCGTCGTCGGGCAGCTCAAGGAGCTCGAGCCGACGCGGTCGATCTTTGTCGCACGGAGCCTCGCCAAGTGCTGCGAGGACCTCCGCACGCTCAGCACCGAGTCGCGCGTCGCGTGGGAGACGCTTCGCGCCCGCCTCGATGGCGCCGAGTAGCATCGTCGGGTATACATATCGAGTGTGTATTTATTTCAGCACTTCGACTTGTATGCAGCGTACGACGGGGCGACGCGTGAAGCGTACGTCTGCATCGACGGCAAGTCGAACGACGGGGTGTGCGCACCAAAGCACAGCTCGTGGTGCGTCGGGCCATGCACCGGTGTGGGCTTGGGCGGCCGCAGTTGCTTCTTCTTTTTCACGGGCGACTTTGTTTGGGGCGCGTCTTTGGCGAGTTCGGTCACGAGTGCTATGTACAAGTGCACGTCGCGCTCGGCGTCGTCCACGTACGCGGTGAGGTCTTGGATATGGGCGGTCTCGGCTGACAGAATAGCCCGTCGGAGCTAGTTCGTCGGCTGTAGGGGTAGGGTCGCCACCGATACATGTCTACCTTTTCACAGACGTGTTCGCCGAGCTCTATACTCGAGATAATTGATATATATACTGGCGAAGTGCAGAAGTACCGGTGATTTCTAGTGCGGTGATCAAACTGTCGGAGAGGACGCCCTCGGCCTCCCGCGCGGTGCAGCGAAGCCACGCGATCTCCGAGACGCGCGCGAGCGGCTGCAAGAGCGTTTGGCACGCCTCGATGCGGTCCTACCATAGACACGTCTGCATTGCATGTATGATGGGAAGCGACTTGGAGTGCGATGCGAGCTTCGACCGAGTTGCTGGCTTTCACGAGGCTTGGCGTGTCGACGGTCGGCGGCTGTGGCTCGGGCATTGGAATCGTCGGTGGCTCGATCAGGTCGGCGACAACGACCACCACCGGAGCCGAAGGCACATCCGTTGGCGGATCCTCCACGACGGGCGACGCGAGAATGAGAATGTCGGCTTGCTAGCGATGCAGCCTCGTACACGCAAGCGCGCCAAAGACAACGTACAGGTGTTGGTTTCGAGCTTGGCCGTTTGGTGCCCGAAGAACGCGGTGTCTTGGCGGGTGGCGGCGTCTTGGCCGGTGGCGGTGTCTTGGCCGGTGGCGGCGTCTTGGGCTTGGGCGTCTTGGATGGTTTCGTCGATGACCGCGGTGTCTTCTTGGCTGGCTTTGGAGTGTCGTCGGCAAACTTGACAAACACCCACTCGTGGAGCTCTGGTACGTGGTGTAACTTGACATACTCAACGAGATAGAAGCTATTACCTGTGAGATAGGTGACGTACGCCTTGACCTTTTGGCCGCGCGCCCACACCTCGGCGAGCTCGTAGATGGAGATGCAAAACCGGTGCTTGTCCATCGAGATCAATCCGCCACTGTCGCGCTGCCAGTCTTCCTACGCATCTACACTCGTGTACACTCGAGTGCGCTGACGCAAACCTCGATGAGCGCATCAATGTCGTCGCTCAGCTGGGCTTTCTTCCCGTACATGCGCGACGTACCGAAAATGAGCCGTTTGTACAAGTTGACATATTCGTCTACACCGACGACGACCCGAGTGTTAATGGTTGCATGTTGCATCAGAACCCACCGCGCTCGATCGTGCCGTTGCGGTCGCCATCGAGCAGCGTGAGGCAGCTCTGCCACCACTTGTCGAGGATCGCAGCCAGCGGCGGGTTCTCCTCAATAAAGGCCAGCTTGTCGTCCTCGTCGTCTTCGTCTTCGTCGTCCTCGTCGTCATCATCGTCATCATCGTGCGGACCGTCACCGTTGCCGCTGCCATCGCCGGCCCCGCTGATGCGCTGGATGAGGCTAAACATGCTCGCCGGCTTGGGCTCTGCCATGGCTCCTCCAAGTTGGCGTTCCACGAGACGTTTCTATTTAATTTTACTACGTGCGCTGACTGCGGAGCTCCCAGTACTTGGCCGTGAGCTGCGTTGCGTATGCAAACTGCTTGCGCTTGGCGTCGCAGGACCGCAAATGGCGCTTCATGTGCGCGCGCTGGCAGTCGCGCGAGCAAAAGTGTGTGCCGCAAGCGCACTCGCTCGTACACTCGACGCGGCACACGGAGCAGCGAGGAATCAAATACGGCAGCTCTGGCCGCAGCGGTGTCGGTAAGAGCGCGGGGATCCCGAGCACCGAGACGAGCACTTCATACGTCCACTGGCCTTCGTCCGTGACGCCGGCCGGTCGCCTAGAAATCGCCACATCGTAAATGGATCACCAGGAGGTCGCGACATGTACAGCGTCTCGAGGTCAAACCCCACTTGCTTGAAGTTTTGCACGTGGTCGCGGAATGCAATCGCCGTCGTCAAGCCGCACGGGAGCTTCTTGTAGTGGTGCCGGAGGTACCGTACGTACCGAGCGCGGTCCCGAACGTCGACGTATTCTTGACCAAGCGTTGGCATGAACGGAAGGTCGCCCGCTGCGCGCTCGAGAAACTCGGTTGGGTTTTTGAGCCAGCCCGGCGGACCAGGGTACAGTGGCGGGAGACCGGCCTCGGGCGGGAAGAGGACAAGGGGCTTGGCGGCACAAACCTTCTTATGGCCAGCATTCCAGTGGCGCACTTGGCACTCGCGGCTGCAGTACGACGCGCGGGCGCAGCGGCTGCACTGCTTGGACGCCTGGTCCTTCTTGCACACGGCGCAGCGCATGGCGATTGATTGTGGCAAAGGGCAATCTCGGTTGGTGCTGCCACGTGTTTTTCGAAACCACGGGCCCAGATCTGATTTGTATTTTAATTCGAGCGGCAACGCAATACAAACACCGAGCTTAATGGCCCGAATACAATAATATTATGCCCACATTGCTGTTGGCACGTCGGAAATATTTAAAAAAGGACAAGTCGGCTTGTTGAACGCAGCGGTATGTCACGCGATGACGCGCTTATGCCGATGACAGGCGACATGCTTTCGGAAGGGTAGTCGCCCACGACGTGGCGGTGGTTGCCACTCAAAGCGGCGCGCGCGAGGTGACTCTACGCGCAGGAGCGCTAGCAACACGGTCGCAGCTTCAACTTACCCGCGCCTGCCACAATGCAGCACTAGTGTCTAACGCCATTAGGACTCATACCCGCAACAGCAACGCTGGATGGACCCGTTCCAACAAGACACGGAGCTTTTAGACTGCTTGGGTGCAATGATGAGGGGCTCTGCCGCCATCCAGCACGAATCGACAGCGAAATGCGCGATCGCGGGTGAGATTCCCATGTCTGTCCACGACGTCTCAGATGCAGCCAATATTTAAGCGCCACCAGCCATTGACGACCAGCATCCAAGCTCGCGTCGCGTCGTCGCCGCATTCATCTAGTTGCTGCTATTACTATGGCATCGCCGGTCGAAGCTACCGGTCGAAGCTGCAGTCTGCACCAGAACGCTTCCATAACGTGCCGACACAGAATATAGCGCCGATCGATGCAAGATCCGTCGGGTGACGCCACTGCGCACAGCAGCTGCGTCCAACGAACGCTGTCGCCGTTGCAGACAGGACCGCTACACACGAGCAGAGACCAATGACGCGGTGGAACTCATCGCCTTGGTGTCCAAGCTTCGTCCTCGGCTCGTCGATCCTTGTCGCCAGACGCAAAGACGATTGATGGTATATCGTCGATTAGGCTGCAGAACTTGCTACGATGTTGCTCGATGTACAAAAATCCAAATGTTTTACATGCAATTATATACACTTCATTCTGGCTTGGAGACTGGAGTGTCTTCAAGCGTCCTATCAATCGGGTTCAATACAACATGTCGGGCACGGAGGGCAGCCACGGGAAATGACCGGCGCGGGCGAGACGTCTTACCAACGGCACTGCAGCACGAGCTGTCGGATCTTCTTGGTGAGCTCTTGCTGCTGCTTGACTTCCTCTTCGAGCTGTTCGGGGAGGTCGCCAAAGCCCGAGCGCCACGATTGCGTCGAGTCGAGGCGAGCGCGCGAGGAGCCGTCGCGCTCCGACTTGAGCGCCTTGATCTCGAAATCGCGTTCGGCCACGAGGAGCTTGAGTTCCTGCACATGAAGTTCGCATGAGCACCAGAAACATACGACGGCTTGAGGCGACGTACAAAAGCCATTGTGGACTTGGTCGCATACACTTCTTGGAGCTGCTTGTAGCTGGCGTCGGCCGTCGCAAGCGCGAGGGTGTGTTCCTTGAGGGTTTGCTACAGTGCAATGTATGAGCTTGATACATTCCGAAGGACCACGACGAGCGTACCGCGGTCGCAGCAGATTCGATCTCCGCCGAGTGCACTTGAGCCTCGAGCACCAGCACTTGGGCCTCGAGGACGCCGACGCGCGCTTGGCGGTCGGCAAGGTCGTGAGCGCACGCAGCGCGTTCGGCTTCGAGCCGGTTGTTGTCAAGCGTCGATGCTTGGAGCTGGGCGTCGAGGGCCGCAATGCGCGCCATGAGCAAAGCGGCGGCCGCCACTTCGTCGTGCACTCTGCCCTCGAGCGCGTGAAGTTGCGACGTCAAGTCTGCTTCGAGCGACGCGTAGTCGGCTTCTGCTTGCTCCAGCTTGGCGTGTTGGTCGGCGAGCGACGTCTCAAGCTCCTACACCATTCACATCAGACACCTACTAGAGAGCAGATTAGCGTACCGTAATCACAGTCGACTTGGTGTCGCAGGCGTGGAGCGCCGCCTTCAACGCGTCGCTTTCGTGCTGCAACTCGGTGTTCTTGGCTTCCATTGCTTCGGTGTGCGCGGCGTCGGTCACGAGCAGCGTCGCTTCCAAGGTCGCAATCGTGGCCGCGTGGGCCGTCATCGTGTCCTACAAATCTTGTCAGCGACAGCAACACATCAATAGGAAGGCGCACCGTCGTCGTCTGAAGCTCAGCCTTGGCGTGGTCGAGCTCGGCGTGGAGGTCCTTGAGCTGACCCTCGAGCGTTTGAGCCGCCTCGTGAGCAAGCGCAAGGTCGCTGCAGTGTGCGGTGCAAGCTTCCGTCTGAGCCGCCTTCTCTGCCTCGAGACCAGCCACGGCAGCTTCCAAAGCCGAGATCTTGGCGAGCTGAGCGGCCGACTGCACTTCGAGCGACTCCATCGACGTCGCGTGCTGCGTGAGCGCCGCGTCGTGGGTGGCAGCGTGTTCGGTCATCTTGGCTTCGAGAGCTGCGACTGTTGCGAGGTGCTCGGCCACAGCCGTCGCCTGAGCGATGTGGGCCGCATCCAAGTTGGCTTGCGCCTCATCGTGGCCAGCCTTGGCTTGGGTTAGCAACTCTTCAAGAGCAGCCATAGCCGCCGTGTGAGCTGCCAGCGCTGCCTCATGCTCTGCGACGTGCTGTGCGATGGCCACTTGGAGCGCGTCGACAGTTGCCTGGTGCTGAACGTTGGATGCGTCGTGGGCCGCCATCGACTCGGTCAACTTGGCGTCGAGAGCTTGGACGCTCAGAGCAAGCTCGTCGTTCGCCGCCTTATGCGCCTCCATCGCGTCGTGAAGTTGACCCTCAAGAGCGACGTGTTGCGCCTCGGCTTCGGCTTCGAACGCAGCATGCTCGCCCCGAGCTCCAACGAGCTTCTCCTGCAAAGCATCGCGTTCTTGCTCGGCTTCAACGACCTTGGACTCCAGTGCGCGCATCTGTGCGACCATCTCAGCGCTCGAGAGCTCGTGCGCAGCCAGTGTCACACGCAACACCACAACTTCAGCGACCACTCCTTCGAGACCGTGCGCTTTTGCTTCTGCAGCCTCGAACGCAG